GAGGCTATTCTTGGGTCCATTTTAAGAAAAAAACTTCATATGAACATATGTCCTAAAAGTCTTAACTTTTGAACTACAGGGTGCTAAAGTTTTATGAAAAATCATTTTTTTAATTATAACTTTGGTATTACCCTAATTTGGTACACGCCTTCTATTCATCGAGATGCATTTTCTGATGTACAAACAATTTTATTATTTTTGCGAGTGGCGTCTGTACAGGTTTTGTATTGAATATTTTTGAAGGAAAATATGTTATGTCAGGGTAATTTTCTTTTACCATTCCAAAATGTATGTAGATTACTGTAATTTCATAATTTCAACGTTTAAAAGTTATTATCTATACTTGTATATCTATACTATCTATACTAATATTATAAAGAGGAAATATTTGTATTTTTGTATGTATGTATGTTTGTTACTAATAAACTCAAAAACTACTGGCGGATTTCGATAATTCTTTCACCATTAGAATGCTACATTATCCCTGAGTAACATAGGCTATATTTTTTATATCCCAAAATGTTTAAAATAAATGTCCACCCGTGCGAAGCCGGGACGGGCCGCTAGTCTTAAATAAATTATTGTTCAAAGTTACATAAATCTTTTTTTTTTCTCGTATGTGGTCCAATAAGATGCAAATGAATGAATTTTATTTTTTTATGCGAAACCGTATGTCAAACGAAAAAAATTGAAGACACCACATTTGCTCAGAAAGGAATGAGGATTTCAAAAATGATGTTTACTTTTAGAAAAAGCAGTGGCGTAACATATTTTTCTTCAAAAATATTCAATACAAAACCTGTACAGACGCCACTGGCAAAAATAATAAAATTGTTTGTACATCAGAAAATGCATCTTGATGAATAGAAGGCGTGTACTATATCTGAAAAAATATCTATGGTAGGTAATACCAAAGTTATCATAAAAAAAGTTTTTTTCATAAAACTTTAGCACCCAGTAGTTCAAAAGTTAAGACTTTTAGGATATATGTTCATATGAAGTTTTTTTCTTAAAATGGACCCAAGAATAACCTCCTTAAGTATTAGCACGTTATTAAGAAACACCCTGTATATTGTCTATGCTTAGATGAGTCAATTCTTCGCAACGGCAAGCGCCAAAAACTCCTAATATCAGCGCCACCTAAAAACAATAAATTTAATAAATATAATTCAGTTAAACTATTCAATAAAACCTACCTTATTCATAAGATGATCTTCATCTAGGTTTTCACGCAAAAATTGTTCGATTTGTTCTTTTTCTAAGACCTTGGATTTTTTTGGTTGAAAATGTTTGTGCTTAGAATTTAGAAATTTCAACGTTCTTGTAAACTCTCAAAGTTGACTTCATGGAATATTTTTTAGTCCACAATGTGAATGGAGCTAATTTCTCACTTAAATTGAAAAAATAAGCCAGCAAGACATCTTCATTTACGCCTTTCACCCCTTCTTTGATTTTCCAATCTTGAAATTCCTTCAGTTTTTTGTTGTATATAGATTTTGATTTCTCCGGAATGATGCCTGCAGTAGCCGTATTAGCTTTTTTTAAAATTTCAGATGGAATTTCCACATTTTCAATTTTTTTAGTCTTGGTTTTAGGATTTCAAGTGATTTCAACTCAAAAAATATTGTTTGTTTACTGACAACCTTTGGTTACAGACACAATTTAGGTTGACACTCGCATCCTTTGTAATATTTAAAAATACATTAATTTCGTTAAATTACTTTTTCTGACATTGACAACATGAAATTTTAAGTTTTACTTTTATTTATTATTAAAACGAAATTCTATGAATGTGTTGGATAAAATTTTGTATTTCCCAGCGTGACATATATACCGTAACACACTAGTGCGTGCCATAAATAACTATAGTTTTGCCTAACCAGAAATATCTCATAGGTACTAATAAAGTAAATATTTTTTCTCGATTACACTTCCCTGTTTTTGTTTTCAAAACTCAAATTGACTTAAAGTCAAATTTGACCATTTTCTTATTTTGTGTATCTTCCCTCCATAGAAATAGCTACCTTTCTAATGTAGTCCCAGCGTTCTCCGATTTTACCGTTGAGCGATCTCGAAGTTTTACCAGCGTCATATTTAGTACAGTTACAAAGTACAGTACAAAGGCAATCTTTAAAATTTTGTGTCTCGTTTCCGATCGAGTTTTTGAAAAACTTAAAACATAATAATTTATGTCGGCATCGTAACCGCTTATGAATTCGTAGCCACTTGAGCAACTGTCGCCGTCGATGGAATGTTTTTTGTTTAGAGTACTTTAATAGTAGTTTTACTTGTTTCTATTTGGTTTCAGTATTTAATATTTATTATTGTGATTGCAAGGAGGCCTCTTCGAAAAGCAATCCTATAAATAAAAAAATAAGTGGTTGCTTCTACGTGTTGATCTTTGTCAAAGTCAAATATGATGTTAGAACAACAAAAACACAAGATATTTCTTTGAAAGATTACATTATTAAACAAGTATTCATAGAGTATCTAAGCTTAGATACTGAGGACCTTTTCTGTAGCAAATTTAATTTGAGAGAAATACAAAAATCGACAAAATTAATTAAAATTTTTTAGTAGTGGAACCATTCAACTCACATAGGTAAATCGTACTATGGGCACTTTCAGAGAACAGAAGAGAATATTGTCCTCTAATTGTCTCCTATGGACAATAAAATAACCTGAAATGCAGCTTGGATATAGATAATTAAAAAAAAACTAGGTTTACGTGTTAAATGAATGGGAAAATTTTAAAATCAAATAGTGAGTACTTAAAATTAAAATTTAGAGTTGCAATTTGGTGAGGATTTTTTTTCCAATGTTTAGAACAATATTTCGTCAATGTATCGAAAAAAAAATCATTTCAAACAAAGCTCCCCAAATATGTACATAGGTAGATAAACAAAACAAAATTATCACATTGATTTTAAGTCAATTTGTTGTCAATTATTATAAAAGGTAGTAGCTAAGGAACGAGCAAAAATAAGTAAATATCATTTACTTGCCAGTAATAAACTTAATGTTAGCTTTTTAGATAATTTTGAAAATATAGCAACCCTTTTATGGTTATGACTGCGAATTATAGGCATTATTTTATATTATGAATAAACGAGCAGTACTGGAAAATTCCTTTTCTAATTGTGTTTTCTAAATTTACACATATGAATATCCTATATCGAGTGTTATTGTTTTATGTACATCAAGGTAAATTAGCTATTAATTTATGTATGTCGTAAACAAATAAATTTTATAGAACTATAAACGTGGAGGCCTTATGACGAGAGTCCGTAGGCAGAGGATTTTCAAACATGTATCTTATTTTTCACAAATTTAACGTTTCTTATACAGGACGTAACTGAAATGTCGTATAATAAGATCAAAATTAATCAAATTAAGCTGTTTCTTTCAAGTTGCAAAAAACATTGGATAGAAGCCATCATGATGAAAATAAACCTCACCGCCGAAGATGATTTTGTTCGGAAAATCAGAATTCACTTGTTCCATAATCTATTCAAAGAACTTTCTTCGGTCTGCGTGGTCAGTAGGCTTCAGTTCTTGAGTCAATTGTACTTTACCGCACAAATAGTGCAAAATTTAAATCTTGCATGAATTTTGACACTCGATATTTTATTATGTTTTGTTTATTTAACTTCTGAATAATAAAAAGCAATTTGCACTTCTGCACAAACAATTTACACTTTTTCTTATAACATTAATCTTTAATAATTAAAAAAACAAAGTATGCTGTGCCACGATGTGTAGAATTATTACTATATTTCGAATAAGTATAAAAATTGCTGATATAGGCATGTTTTTTAATTATAATTTAGAAAAGTTATAGCAGACGCAAAATCTAAGATTTGAAGTTATAATTTATAAATATACACATTCTTAGCGCTTATTCAATAAAAAATATCTTACCTTACCTTCATTTGGTTTTTTACTTACTTGTAATGGCCTGTATATTAAATCATCCTGTATATAGATATTCTTATCTATAGTTGTTTCATTGTTTTTTACTTATGTTTTCACCATTTTCAAGTATGCTAGCGGTTTAATATTGGATAAAAAATATGCACTATGTTCATTCTACATAATATATTTAAAAAATGTATACAAAGCGTTCCGTAAAAAATATGTGGTATTATTTACTGTATTAGCCATGTGTTTATAGTAAAAATGATCATATGTATAAAAAGAACAAAATACAGGGTGATTCACAACTTATCCAAAAAAATTTGGGAATAGATGCAGCATGAGAAATGGAATCAATATCGTAAAAAAAATTTTTGTAAAATCCTTATAGTTTCCGAGAAAAAAAATATTGAAGTTATAGTACATTCAACCACTACATAGCTGGACAACTGTAGTCTCTAGCGTCATTCGCCACGTGGCCTCAGCGACTCCGAATACTGAATTCGGATTTTGCAATCGTCGTTGCGATAGTATTTGCCTGTTATCTGTGGTGTTTACAAAAGGATTTTAGTAGTTAGTGTCAAAAATGGGTAGTTAGTGTCAAAAATAGTTTGCGTGTACTCGGAGTTGATGGATATCGTTCTAATTTATGGTGAAGCATTTGTGTTATGGTGAAACAAGACAACATTTCGTGGAAACTGAGTACAACGGACCCAAATGTGTTTACACATTGGTGGATAAAATTTTGAACAGTTGTTGTAACATCAGGTATGTCAAATGATTTTATTAATTAAAAACACAAATTAATTTTATTAATTAATAAAGGCAAAAGCAGTTTAACTTGCCGATATAAAATAGGTGCGATAAAATTCTATTTACGTATTTCTTTCCTTGCGAAAGTTTTTGTCCGTTTTTATCACACCGCTATGCCATGCCAGTCGCATTGTGCAAGGTCAGGTTTTACAGTGGACCAGTTTCCAGTGCCGTGCAGAAGTGCATTTTTAAATCATTTTCGAACTGCCCTTTTTGATTTTTTCTTTACAAAATTGTGTTTGTAAGGGTCCTCTGTACATCCAGAATTTTTTTTTGAATAAGTTCTGAATCACCCTGTATATTAAATGTTTCAGTAAAACAATTTCAGTTTTAAATAATTTTATAAGTTACTTTTACAATACGAGTACAATTTGTACTTTTTTATTTCTTTTTTCTTAAATACGTTTTCACATAAAAGTCTCCGAACAAGAACAACAGAAACAGCTGTTGCGGTACAAGAAAGAAACTAACCCATTTGGGATAGGCGCAGTCTGGCTTGAACAGTAGTCTGCCAAAGATTAAGAAGATTGCCATAAATTGGGTCTGAAAAAGAAGAAAAATATATATGTAGGGTTACAAACTTTAGCTTCAGATACAACTGATACCACTAGCCAAGGTCGTAAAAAGAAATTCTGTTTCTAGACCAGAAATGATAACCATCAAAAATCGTAAAAATCAATAATTTTCGTTAAATAATTTATTGTTTTAATAGTTAGCTAAATTGTTCTTGTGCTTCATAAAAATTGTGTGTTTTTGTCTCATACCAACCTTTTCAGAGACATACTTATTTCTGAGACTTTCTATATAAGAGGAATCAGAGCACATACGAGGCTGAGGCTTCTGATTCTTCTAATTCCAGAGCAACATTCTCTTGGCCACCCTGAACATATTCAAAATATGTTTTTCCTCTAAACGCTGAGGGCGAGTGCAGCCGAGCGACTTGACATCAATGTTATTGATGCGGAAAGTCAAGCAACGCTGATCGCGGTTAGTACTTGGATGGGTGACCATCCGGGGAAGGCTCGCGATGCTCGTCCACCTTCTAGTGGCTTATATGTCAGTGTATTCACAGAAACTATACAAATTTATAGGCGAGTTTTGTATAGGGGGACATACCATCCCTCGGAAAGGATATAAAGTTGTTAGTCCCTCATCTCAACAATATTAGCCTAGTAAAATATCCCTAACCCACGACAAAGTGGAGGTTCTGCAAAATTTCCATGTTAGGGGATTGCTCGTTTCCTGACGTCGGTGTTCAGCCATAGTAGCAGGAATAAAAAAATAACTAAATAGCTAAAAGCTAAGCTCTAAAGGCGGAGATGGCCTTTTAATTTAAGGTTATTTTTATTAAGTATATGATAACATTTATATTTATATGCAAAATGGCTATAACTCTTTAGATCCTGAATTTTAATAAAAGATCAATTTTCAGCATTTTTTTCCGTAGCACTTTTCCGTAACTTTAAACCTCTTGTAGAGACCTTTCCACAGGGCAGGTTGAAGCAGTATTTTTTAATAAGTATGATTTTTTTATAAAATGAAAAATTTAAATATTTTCCCCGTTTTCAACTCTACCCGTGGACACACCGTATTTATCAATTTCTTTTTCGAGGAAATAAAGAATCCACTTACAAGTTGTATTTTGGTAAGCAGCTTCTTATACGTGATAGACTTCCACTTCTCATCGAACGTAGCCATAAGGTAATAAGTGTACATGACGACATGGACGAAACTGTTGATTGCGGGTATCCAGACTCCTGTGCCTCCTGCCACAAATCTGCACCCAAGCCAAATACACCATATCATTATGGTGTGGTGATATAAGTGCAGAAAGGAGATTTGTCTGTAACTTTTCCTTAACACAAAGAATATCTGAAATAGAAGATGGATGGTTTAGTTTTCTTTTTATTTGTTTTGGACCAATTTTCCAGTGTAAATCTGCATACCTATATGTTATTAATACGTGAAAGGAAGATTATTCTTTTGATCCAATTCAATTTGTAATTCAATTTGTTTCATTAAAAAGTTCCGTTTCTTTCATTCTTCACTTTAGAAGATATTTAGATAAAGTTTTAAGCTCATTAAATTTTTTCGCTTTTTTAAATTGAATTCTAAAAATCTGTTTTTAGTCAGTTTGAGGATAAAGAGGTATGTACTTTTTTTTAATGTTGTGTTATAATTTAGTCCACAGTTGTAATTGTTTTTTATTTTTTTTGCGATTTCCTGTCAAAGTAAGGAAAACTAACTTTTCTTGAATTTCTCTCTAATTTATAAAATATACAAAATAAAGTAATTTGAAAACATTTTACATATATTTGTTTATTTCTTTTTGTGTTTCTCGTAATTTCATGATCAACATTAAACGATTTTTAAATTATTCTGGAACATCATCACTTTTCAGTGATAAAAAGCAGTGGGAAATTGTTTATTATTAAATTATTTTTTAGGTTTATTATTTGTTTACGTTTTAGGACATTATTTAATTGAAACAATTTATTCAGTTTCCTTCCAGATATTTATCATATTTGACCGACATCGACATTCAGTTTTCTTAAACAAGCCATTCAATTTCCGTATATTTTGAAGAGTATTTTTTTAAAATGTGATGTGCATACAAAAATTAAGACTTATCCATACCCTCGGAACCGACGTTATATCTTATTCACCCTGTTTACCTCATAGTAATATTTATCTAAAAAAAGTATCTTTAAAGTTTTATGAGTGATCTGGTTTTTTCAAATTTATTTTTGCTCATGTCACGCTTAGGTATTCTAAGGACAATCAAATTATACAGGGTGTCATTAATTCAACCGCCCTTCCTTAATTGAGCTTAATTCCCTTAGGATGTTTTGACTATTGAATAGCAGGTTGCTCTCTGCCAGTTTGGCCTGTTGAAGGCCTGGACATTGGGTAGAAACGACTATTTATAGATATACCATTCACCTACAAAAATGAAATCCATTTTAAAAGTGATGCTAATTTTGAAAAAAGGTAATTAATCTTGAGACATTTTGTTAAAGGAACCAGCTTCCCGTACAAATATATGTTTCTAAATACGAAAGACGTCTATTTAAGCTTTTCAATGAGACTGTAAGTTCTCACATAACAAAAAACTGAGACAAATATTGTAAAAAAACAAAATTATAATAAACATTTAACATGTACATAATTAATGAATATAAACTATTTAAATATACAATATCCTAAATAGTATGTAAATTGTACCATTTATCATTTGATTGCGGATAAATAATAATATTGTCAACATAAATTAGGTTTTTTCTACGATTAAATAATATTCTATGTTCTTATTTTGCAATGCATAATCGAGTACCTTTTAATATTGGAGGAGCAGAAGCAGAGACATAAGCGAAATAAATTTTTTTGGTAGAAACATAATTTTTAATCTGACAATAACTGTTTTGACGAAATTGTTATCGAAAATTTTAACCTCTAAATCATTATAAGTAGGTGTGTCCCACGGTGACGAGACATTAGACATATTTTAGAGACTACTTTTAAATTAAAAAAACACTACCTAATTCAAAAATGTGTGTATTTTACAATAATAAATTTGGAGCGATAAAATTTATAGGGGACATAACCAAAACTCTAAGCTTCTCTGACATAATTTCAAAATTACTTAATTTCATACAGGGTGGTAGAAATTTAATGCCAAATTTAGTCAACATTAAACCATCTTAACTTATTTTTTTTAATGGGATACCCTATACCTATCTCTTCTGGTTTTTAAGGTATTTACTGTTTTTCGTGCAGTCAACGGATATCGTATAATTTCTTGCACCAGTTTATTGTTGTCAATTTAACACATACAGTAAATGTCTATTTGAGTATTATTTATTGTTAAAGAATGGAAAACTTTAACATTTATTCAAATGCTGACATTCTAAATTTATTATTTATTCATGAAGAGTGGCACAAGATAATAAATACTTAGGACTTACAGCGTATTTAATGAGAGATATCCTCATTTACCAGCAATGAGTAGACACATTTTAGGAAGAATTTTAAGAAATCAATTGGAACATGGTCCAATTTCTGCACATAGAATTTTGCCAAAGTCGATAACTGTAGATGAAAGTAACATCGTCAATGTTTTGGCATATTTGAATCATCAGTGCTGCTGAATAGGATTTATGCATTTCAAAAACCTCCATGCCAAAGATTTTGAAAACCGGAAGCGTTAGGTGGACGCCATTATTTTAGTTGAGAAGGGCATGCCCGAAAACAATATTGCCCAAATTTTCAAAATTAAAATCGAAGTAGTCTCGTCGCGAGCTTTGAAGCCAATACACTAATATTGGAGGGGAATAATTTCAGAGAAGTGAGTTCCTTTAAATGTGAGATTTAACAACAATTGTGCATGCGCTGCGATTAAAACGCGCCATTATTTGAGGTTACAACAAAGGTTAAAAAAGTCCACGACGTATTTGGAAAAATAAACTATTGATACGTGTTTTTGAAGGTCAATGGAAGCCTCTGTATAAATATGACCCTCATCCAAATTTACACCCAGTATATATTAAGTCCTAAAACACAATTATTATTTGTAACATTTCTTCTTTTATTTATTCGATCTATCGTGAGTAATACCCGTATTGTAATGCCCCTTATAAATTTAATAATTGCGAAGTGTCATATAATCAACCTACATTCCTCACACAAACCAACCAGAAGCCGCTACTGTAGAATATGTTGTTCGAATACTTACTGTATCAAACAAGTCCAAGATTTTCAATAAATAGTAAACATAACAAACGTGAAGAATTAAATTTGACTCCGGATTCACAGAGTAATCTATAGCACCACAATTCCAATCCATGTTACTAATCACTTTCACCGACTGAAAAACAATTATTTGAACTGAAACGGAGTAAAATTATTTCTTCTTCGCTTACCAAAACCACTACATAAGAATTCATAACGATTTGTACCACATTATACACTCGCATAATGTTTGTTACGTCGCAAGGTTTCCTATTCTCCATTAGCTTCGGTCCTAAGTTATGAACGAAATATAAGTACAACAGAGTGACGGTCATTGGTGCGAGTACATTTGACACCATGAATAAACTGTCCGTTCTGGTATCTGAAAATTAGGAAAAATGAACGCAAACCGTTGCAATTAAGGTGCCAGGTAATGATTTTCAATTGTTCGACACACTCATTATGATGGACTGTAGAAAAAATATTTTTTTGTCTGCTCCCACTATAGTAAATAAACTATTATATACATTGTTTTTAAAGAAGTGGAAGTTGCTATGGACAACGGGAGGTAAGTGAGCTAACCTAGGGAAAAAACGATTTCCAGTTATAAATGCATATTTTATGTACAAATAAATAAGAAATATTTGATAAACATTACATTTTATTAATTATTATGAATGAATATTTATAGTACAGTTATTACATTTAGTAATAACATTTATAAAATCTGGATAATTATTCCCCTCGCGTCTACTAATTCTCACATTTTTCTCAAAATGATTTGACCGCTCCATTTCAGTCACCGGAGGCACAATTTTATTTGACTGATCCATTAAAACAGCATAATGCGACGTACTACTAGAACCTGGAGTTGAAGTGTCATTGTAAAGAATCCTGTTGGCTATTTTATTTTTGTTACTTAAACTATCAGCAACATAACTTTCTGCAATTGTGGCTGATTTCCACCCACCTTGTCTCTTGGTTGCTAATACATCAACTCCTGTATTAGCCAGTAACGTTGCCGATGTTCTTCGGAATGAATGGCCTGTATATGTTTCAGGATGTTCTAGTTTCAAAAACTGTGCAATCTTATTAGAAATCATAGAAAGGGTATTCTTGTCGACTGGTTGGTTGTTAATATCTACCTGCTTGATAGCGCATAAAAAAAGATGAAATTTCAGTTTTAATTTCCAATATAATCTTGATATATTTCTTGAGAATTTCTGGGTGGGAAACATAACCCGGACGAGAAGTTATAATTGTAAACGTACGTGACGTACCATTTTTAGAATCTGGAATTGTAACTACAATGTCATCGAAATTTTTGAAATTGACGTTGTCCAAAGTAAGTTTGCATCAGAACTGCAATGCCTAAGACATTAGCAAATATGTGCTATCGGGTGCCTGAACGAGAAAATCGTTGACTCATTCTCTTGTAAAAACGTTTGATTTTTTGCACTTTCTATTTGAAAATCACTCATTTAGAAATAATAATTCAAAACCAGCAAAATTGCAACTTTTATGTAGCTTTGTTTATAAACACCTTAGAAGCGATAAAAATCCAATGCAATCCAAATGCAATATTTCGAATAATATCAAAATGAATTTGTTAAGAAATGTCAAAAAATAAAACCTAATATTTATTTCATGAACCATAAAGAACTGTAGGAGCAGATAAAATGTTATATACCACGCAGCAGTTAAGTATAATTTACCAGTCTCGGACTCTATTGCCAGCCCTGCTCCGCTCGGGCCCAAAATCATCTTCGACTGGTAAATAATACTTACCTCCTTTATAGTGTAAATAACTATTTCTTTGTTGTATTCAAAAGGATTTTTTCCCTTACCAGCCATGTCCCGAAATAACCAGAAGTATCCATGGTACAATTGTTTAAGCACTAACGCCATTTCTTCTTCGCCTAATAATAACAATGAATAAATCAACTCAGCCTATTCACAACTGTATCATTTTTCACACTATCATGGCCACCATCGACTCTTAAGAACTATAACAATACGTCGGTACCGTTTATATATTTATACGTGTAATTGACGTAATAAATAATTCAATACGATTAAAAGTCGCAATACATTACAAATTTGCCCGATCATGGTATTTGTTGAATTAATGAGAAACCTTCCAATAAAAATTGTGAAAAAATAAAGTACTCTATTACTGCATTGAAATATATTATTGAAATTTTTCCTGAAATTGGAGCCGAGATATTTCAATTAGTTCCTGAAATGTAATTAGAATATACTGGAAAACACTTTGCTTTTTAATTTGGGCTACAGCTCGTCTATTTATAAAGGTACCTAACCTAGTTAAATTCGCTTTATACTTATCATATTTATTACAAAAATTAAGTCTTTTTGTAATAAATGCCGAATCGGATTTTCATATGATGAAGAAGAAAATTATGAATCTGGCGAATGTTACATTTTATTAGGCCGTTAGTTTTGTAAAAATTTTGTGTTATTTTGATTTAAACTTATAACTCAAAAACGTCAAATTTCTAATTTCCTATTTGAAATACCTGTAACAGCCGAGATATCTTCGAAAAAAAATTATGTTCAAATATAGGGTGTCCCAAAACTAACGCAGGATTTGAATTGTGCGCGATTTTCATTCGGAAGAGTTGGCAGGATTGTGACGCATGTTGTTGTAAATACGTTACAGTTAGATAAAATGGAGCGCTATACGACGGTTGAGAGAGTGAAGCTTGTGAAAATGCATTACAACTACGGAGAGTGTGTGGCTGAGACTGTGCGCAAATTACGTGGAATTTTCTGTAGAAGGAACGCCACGAATTAAACAATTACGAAATGATTAGTTGCAAATTTGAACAAATAGGTTCGGTTGCAGATGGAAAAAATAGTGTTGGTTTCGATAACTAAAAATAAATTTAATGTTTAATTTCTTGTAATTTAAAAGCGAGAACTTAGATTTTAGACGTAGATTCCGCCGTTAAAGTAAAGCCAAGCACTTGTTAGTAGTCACTGTTTTCCCCATTTTTTTATATGTATGCAAATAGTCATTGTATTGATATTACTTTTGGAGAGGCCAAGACTGGGCCTATTTCCATAATGATATTTATTTTATTAATTACTCATAAACGCACACGTCTACCACTTTGCGTTCGCCTATTTACGTTTGCAATACTTATTACAATACAATGGCAAATTACATATTATACGGCAGAAAATTCTACTTACAATTTGTAAAACCAATGAACCGGGTCATGTATTATTATAGTTTTAACGTTTGCCTATTTCTTGGTAAGTATTATCATTGTTATATTTATTTTATCAGCACTTTTTGAAATATTGCTCATTAAAGTCTAGAAATAGTATAGAAAATAATATTTTTCCTTTTTTTATAGTCATAATAATGGTTTTACCGCGGAACACCATTATACAGATAGAAAAAAAAACTGATATAGGTGTCTCGTGGTTTTTTGCGGCAAACTTCGAAAGTTAAGAAAGGTGAACTTCAAAAAACATATATTTTTATTTAAAAGCTAGTAGGTAACATTCTCATCTTTTGTACCAAATTTGAATAAAATATATTTTAAGATTGTCAAGGTATGGCACCCAAACATTTATTATTTTTACCTTATCTTAACCATTAATTTAAAAGATAAAAGTTATATAAGCCTTTCCTTACACTTTTTGTTTTATATTAGCATATTAAATTCTTGAAAAAAACTCTATCTATCTATCTATCTATGAAAAAAACTTAGTGCGGGAATATATCTGCTCTTAATATTTTCACATTTATTTTATATATTTTCACATCAAGTCATTTCATGGCAACAGAAAAAACAAAATTACGACAATAAATAGTTAAATTATTAATTTTAATAATTATCTCCATTTCTGGACCGCCACACTATGGTACGAAATGCCTAAAAGCTGGCCAAAAATAAAAATTTATTCCAAATTGTAAAAAAGTAGGTAAGCATACTGGGGTCTTTGGCCCAACTGATTACGGATTTGATACCAAAATTGAAAAACTCAAAATGGCGGATCCAATATGGCGGATTAAATTTTAAAAAAAGCGAATAAACTGACAAAAATAGATGTTTCGGAGTTTTTAACAACACTGATTACGAATTTCATATTGAAATTGAAAAATTTGAAATGGCGGATCCAATATGGCGGACGAAATTTGACAAACTAACGGAAGTGGATATTGGGGTTTTTGACCGCACTGATTCTGCGAATATTCAATTTATTGTAAAGCAGAAAAATTACAATTAAAAAAAAATCGTCATTTGATCATGTTATTCTGTTGAATATTGTTGAAAGTCACGGGCTCGAAGTTAAAGCTTTCTTTCTTTAATATTATTTGTTACTTAAATTTTAATACGCATAAATGAATACTTGAGTGTTTTGAGTTTGGAACTTTGCAGATCTGATCAGGTCAAACGGACCTCGATTAAGCGACCCCAAAAACATATAGATACCGGGCTTCTCTTTCAAATATTCCACTTTTTTTTGTGGGGCTGTGAATTGACAAAATCGCATCGACTATCCTTTTCTATGTCATACTCGAGTATTCTTTCTCTTTATTTAATTATTGCCCTTTACTATTCTACTTATATATATTTTTCCAAACATTATTTTTACTTATTTTATAATAAGTGCAATACTCTTTTCACTTTTTGTTCAACATTAACGAAATAATTGAATTACGATTTATTGCAACTTTTGCTTTATTTATATCGTAAAATTGAAAGCGCAGCTAAGCGCATATGTTTTTGTCATAATATTATAGTAAATTGATCATAGATTACGGGTCANTATCTATCTATCTATCTATCTATCTATGAAAAAAACTTAGTGCGGGAATATATCTGCTCTTAATATTTACACATTTATTTTATATATTTTCACATCAAGTCAAATTATTAATTTTATTAATTATCTCCATTTCTGGACCGCCACACTATGGTACGAAATGCCTAAAGGCTGGCCAAAAATAAAAATTTATTCCAAATTGTAAAAGAGTAGGTATACTGGGGTCTTTGGCCCAACTGATTACGAATTTGATATCAAAATTGAAAAATTCAAAATGGCGGATCCAATATGGCGGATTAAATTTTAAAAAAAGCGAATAAACTGACAAAAATAGGTGTTTCGGAGTTTTTGACAACACTGATTACGAATTTCATATTGAAATTGAAAAATTTGAAATGGCGGATCCAATATGGCGGACGAAATTTGACAAATGTGGAATAAACTAACGGAAGTAAAGCAGAAAAATTACAATTCTTAAAAAAAATCGTCATTTGATCATGTTATTCTGCTGAATATTGTTGAAAGTCACGGGCTCGGAGTTAAAGCTTTCTTTCTTAAATATTATTTGTGACTTAAATTTTAATACGCATAAATGAATACTTGAGTGTTTTGAGTTTGGAACTTAGCAGATCTGATCAGGTCAAACGGACCTCGGATTCCGATTAAGCGACCCCAAAAACGTATAGATACATTGGTTTACTTTGTTGGCAATTGATTCTCTACATTGACCTTGAATTGACCTTAACGCAGACTTGATCGGATCAAACGGACACCGGATTCGGATTTATCGTCCCGAAAAACGTATTGATATGGAGGTTTACTTTGTTGGCAAATGATTCTGTACATTTAACCTTGAACTGACCTTAACGTAGATCGGATCAAACAGACATCGGTTTTGGATTCAGCGACCCAAAAACATATAGATACCAAGGTCTTCAGTCGGCAGAGGCCGAAAAGTTACTGTTGGTGACATTTCCTTGATAACTCGGAAATAACTACACAGGCCTATTTTAAGTGATGAGTACAATAACAGGCTAATTTGCTGACAAAGTATTTTATCAGGAAAAAAAGTTATTAACAATTTAATCGTGAAAAACAATTTTTTTAGTAGTTTTCTTTAAATAACTCGGTGGGATGACTTTGTACGAAAAAATGCTTAGGACATGATTTTGTTCGTAATAAATATAGCTACAAAATGGCGGTGGTCCGATTACGAAATTTGCAATAACAAAGCCGTGAGATTGAAAAAACGGTATAAAACGTCAGTAAAGTTACTCTAAAAATGTCAGTTATAAACAAAAAGTGATAAAACTTTCGAAAACTATAGTTTTTTTCACGATTAAATTGTTAATAACTTTTTTTCCTGATAAAATACTTTGTCAGCAAATTAGCCTGTTATTGTACTCATCATTTAAAGTAGACCTGTGTAGTTATTTC